GCGGGCGCTGCGGCAGCTGTGCAAGCCCAAGGCGCAAACCCTGGGTAGAAACACGATGTGCAGGCAGCAAATCAAAAAGCTAAAGCACAAGCGTGCAAAGACACAGCACCCGTGCTACCAGCGTCAGCAGGATGTGCCATCCTCATCAGGCTGCCTGGGATTTGTTCCGCTCCTTCCGAATTGGAAAGGTCTGTCTTCAGGGTTCAGGGGCCCAAGGGAATTCATAAAAAGAGAAATTAAGTTGTCAGAGTAACTGAACATGGATAAAGCACATCCCCATTCTGATTTCTGCCCTGCTGCAGTGAGCTCCAGGTGTAGAGCAGAAAGTAACAGGGAGTTTAACTTGCAAAATAAAGTGTTTTTCATTTCAGAAGGCAGTAAGGAACGTGAGTTCCCAAGGGAGCTAACGGAGCCTCAGCTCATTCACAGACACGCGCCTGTGCATGTGCCTGGATTCACAGGGCAAGCAAGGATCTGGTTTGCCATGTAATGATGTAGACCAGAAACAGGCAGTTCTCAGCATCTGCAAAATGAAAGCTAAAACCAGCCACTGGCCACGTTCACCTGCGTTACTTTGCCGACGAGCCTTTCTGAGCTCCTCTTGCGGAATTAAGTTGCACCGGCATGGCAGGACCTGCAGAATCAGGCCCTGAATTACGAGCAAATAAAAGCCCAGTGGGACTGGCGCGGAAGCTGCATCGTGCTGAGCCGGTCTGTACTGCCAGCGATTGCTTTAACGGCCTTTTCATCTAACCCCCGTGCTTAAAAGCAAATAGAAACCCATGCTTTTTATTAATTGGTGTTTCCATCTTCCTGGTAAGTCTCAAGCACAGGAGCAGTCCCTAGCACGCCCAGTGCTTACCCTCAAAACCTCAGCGCAGGAGGTCTCACGTCTGGGCACCCTGAACGCAGCCTTTGCTCTGCGTGCCGGGGCAGACGCAGGCACCTCGGCAGCGCGGAGCTCCGCTGTCGCACCCCAAGCCACCAAGCTCTCTCCAGAGGCAGACTGCCCGCAGGAGAGCCTTCCTCGCAGCACGCCAGTCAGCAGTGTTACAGCACCCGCAGAACTAACGAAGCGGCCTCCTGCTTCTTCCAACCAGGGCTGCCAGCCCTGCTGGAAAGCAGTCAGGGCTTTGCCCTGCCGTAAATCAGCCCTCTGCCCGTATTT